ATATTATTTGGAAACAGTTGGTTCCAAGATTACTGATTACTATAAATATAGTACAATGCCTACTTAATAATTTATAATATGTACCTAATAAATTTAAAACGCTAAACGTAGACTATCATTTATAATTTTTCAGACGAGACTGGTCTCCCAATGTAAAATGTTCACACATTATTGAAAGATCAATAATAATACATATAATGTTGTTACCTATCGTCGATTTGTACAGAGAGATCTCTTGAACGATGTGTATTATAAATAGTTTTTAGGAAAATATTTTTAACATTGATTTATTTTATTATGTAAGTACCTAGTTGATAAAATAATTGAGGTCTGATTTAAATATGTTTTTAAGATTAAAATAATGTGATTGAGTAAATAAACTAATTATATGATTAAATATGTTTTATTTTCTTACTTTCTTACCAATAACTAAAAAAGAAAAATTCAACCTTGCGCATGCGACGGACACTTGAGTCCACTAAGTGATCATCTAACCAGATCACTCAGAAGTGTACCCTGAATGTCATTTAATTTGTTGGTTTTGACTATCCGTGCCGAATAACATGCGACGGATTTTCCGTCAGATATAAGTTTTTGTGGCATAATTAAAAAGAAGAACGACCTGAACCCCTCGGCTCTTTTGTGGACATTTATTAAAAGTTCGGAAATAAAAGTCATGTATAATTTAAACCTTTATTTCATTTGTTTGTGTTTTAATTTACGGGCAGTCTACTGGCTTACTGCTCAATGATTTCTAAAATACATTTTATATATGGCTTAGTAGAGTTTCTCAAACATTATATTTGGGGTTTCTCAAAAATGCTTTTTCATATTTTATTAATATACATCATCACGATTATACAGATAAAATAGGTACCTAATTAATTCATTAGAGATAAAATGAAAACGCAAGAGCAAGCAGCTTAGTATGTCAAAGTCACAAACATCGCCAGTGTGAATAGCTTTGGTGTAATTTCACTATTTTCAAGAATTATATCATTAATAATTATAATATGCATTAGGTACCTACTCCATTCCACGAAAAGATATACCTACCAATATGGAATTTCAGCGAAATGACTAAGTACACACAGCTACACGTCAAATCGGGAGTATTAAAAAGCTCTGCTTCGGCAATCAAGAATATAGGTATTAATGCTTAAAAATTTATAGTAAGACTATAAAGTAACTTGACGTACAGTCGACTATGCAATACATTTATAAATTATTTATTTATTTGCTCATATGAATTAACATGACCTCTGGGGGGCTATTCTATTTAACTTCAAAAGAAAATCTGAAAAATTAAGAATTTCGATGTTTCGATTAAGAAATTCTTATAATGTTGTTCAAATCGTATTCTTAAAGATTATCTGTGCATCAGAGGCAGTATCAGGCCCTACCTCCGTCGCATCAAAAATTATCGAAAGATTCGTTTCTTTGGATTATATATAGTATTTCTATGTAGTATTACTATAGTATTTCGAAAATAGACGAAATTTTGTTTTAAGAGAAATAGAAAGCTTTCAGGTGTCATGTTAATTCGTACGAATAGTAGTATACATATTTTACTGCATACCACAAACGGCCACAATTTTTTACTCCAACATAATACTTTAACACGCAACAATAACAATAATAAAATAGTAAATTAACATACAAAGCGTATTTTAAACATACTTGAAAAGTAATAGTTATTTCTAATGTCTCTTCTAAATACTTACAATTTAATGTACGTGTATATTAATTTTGATTCAGTAGTATGAATTAAAAAATTGTGATAAAATTATAATTTTCCATGGCTACTTTCACTTTATTTGGAGGAATAAATACACTTTGTCTTCCGAAATTTATAAAAACACAGAACCTATGTTAAAACTACAATGAATTAATAAAATTGACCTCTTACACTCTAAATAGTGATAAATATTTCCTTTATTACGACTTCGTTTAAATGCACATTCACATATAAAATTAAACTGTATGTCTGCCAAACATACATTCACACAAAGTAATCGAAGTTTCGCGAAACATTCCTTATCAATAAAGTTTTATTGATTTCTTTTTAATTTTCTACAACGCCGATTCGAATCTTCACACTCGGTGTTCTCGCCAATAGTTTAGAAACATCGTAAAAAATAATTCAGGTTAATAATATCTATCATATAATATTATAATAAGTATTTCTGTAAATTGCTATATCTCACTTTATGTGTTCTGAAACATTATTGCTTATTTGATTACGAATAATGCAATGTGCTAAACTACGCTACTAATATTGCCAACCAGCTTTCACTATCCAAGGAAAATACCAATTCATAGCTTTAATTTGTTAAAGTACAACAATATTATTATCGATCTTCATATACACTAATTAAGTAATCACTTTTAATCGCATATCATAAAATTTAATTATTTATTAATAAGCTACAATTATGCTAGATATTTAAAATGTGTTCTCTCGGACATAATCACAAGGCCTAAGAACCTAATAGGACGTTATTTATATGCGATGTTATTGACACTTTCCTATATTAAGATATCCCATTCCATCAAACGATATTTAAATAAGTTGAGTGAGTTGTCTTATTTGTATCCAGTGCATAAATTTTAATATTCTGCTTACTTTTAATCATATTTGCAATTTATTTTCTCTCTTTAACCATCGGATATCAAAAAAAGGTTGCTATTATTGATATCCCTACCGTACCCGAAGGCTGATGACCTATTTTGTCAATATACTTAAAGTTTGTTAACTACTCATCATTAATAATTAGATATGAAATTAAAAAAAAAAACCTTCAAAATATCCAAGCACTTTATGAAGTGGTAATTACTGACGATAAATATATTTCACATACAAAGGATTCTCAAGCTTCTACCAGTAGAACCACCTGCGAAAGGCATCTGTCACTTTAAGTTTGCGTATATTTGCCGACTTTGGTAAGATAATTTAAGTTTAAAAGTCTTTTCGATCTTACGTCAATACCATAGTCATTCCGTATTAGCCTATGCCAGAGGTTTCTTAACTTCTTCTCTGGTAGACCACTTACAAATTTGTAATATAATTTTTCAACATGATCTAAGAATATCATAAAAGTAATAGCGACAGCAAAAAAAGTGATTCACTGGGTGACAACACAAATTCATTTACGTGCGTCACATGTATTCCCCACAGTTAATATATCAATACTTCTCATATGTTCCATAAAATATCCCTTCTCTTTTATAGACTTAGTAAGGTTTAATATAATGTGTGATATATATTTTTCTTTCACAATTCGTAATATGTAATGCAAAGATATTAGAAGACATGACTATCCCTGTGCGTTTATATTTAAAAATCCAGTCACGATTCACGAGCAGTCTATTGCATTATAGGCTTACTATAGCTCTTATTCGTTTAAAGCCACGTTTTAAAAAAGCATGAACAAATTTCTCTACAAGTAGACACACCTATCTAAGAGAATAAGAAATTTTCAAAAACAAGCGGAACAATGGTATATTTTCTTTTCCATTTTTTAGGTATGAATTTAGTATTGCTAGTATCACGCTATATCAAAAGGAAGGTTGCGCTATACATTATTATCGCAAATCGTGATATCAATTATTTCCTATATATTGCATTATATGACAACAAACATTGCCCGTCTTCTGATATTACAATATCCTTGATCTATGGCTAAAATTCTACATATATGATATAAAACTTGACTTTAATGACAAATAATTGATTCTAATAAAGTAATAAATTATAGCAGTCATTGTAAAAAAGCTGTTTTTAGTGTAATTAGCTGTAATTAAATAAAATTGTAATTTTTGATACCATGTTTGTTCGAGCAGACTCATAATCATATGAAAAAAATAGAGTATGGCATAAAAAAATAAGAAGCTTTCCAGCTCTAGGTCAACTATCCGCCAACAATATTCGAGTATAATTGTCAGCACTTTCGTGTTTTCAAGTCTATCTCTATACTTATGTTAAAATAAAAAAAAAAATATTTTAATGATTGTTTGAATTAAATAGGCTCTGAAACTACTATACCGATTTTGCAACTACATCATAGGCGGTTGACATAAACTATAACATACGCGGGTGAAGTGGTGAGAAAACATCTAGGAAATTATACCTATATAAACATTCAGTTTAGTGTTTCTTTAGAAGTAATTGTAAAACGACATAGGTAACCAGCCATTCACTATAACGAAAAATTAACAAAAATCAACCCCTAAGAGTTTATTAAAGGTTTACATATCGCACACCTAGATCTAAACTAAGACAACTCAAAAAACAAATGTGGAGGTTTGACAATACATTTGTTTACGTGGCAGGAGCGCGACCACTGATGATTCAACAAAAGAAGGCTAAACTTATCTAGCGGCTCATTCCTGAACCTTTATTGAATCCGTTATGTTGGATAGATGAGTATGATCACCGAGTATTTGAATATTGTACTAAGTCAAAACTCACTCAAATTTTTGAGTTGTCTCAGTTTAGATCTAGGTGTGCGATATATCTATTTTACAATGGAAACAATATTATTTTGAATATTCTGTTAGTTAAAATCTAGAGTAACGTCCAAAAAAATATCTATTCAAATGAGATAATAGAAGAACAGATAAAATAATATTAATCATGTACTTAAACTGTTCAAGTTACTACAATTCAATCGCAAATGCCAATCAATAAATACGTGCATTTCGCATAGCTCCACTGTAGCCATAAGATTAATATACTGATTTTATCAAGAGCACAGCAATAAATCATTTATAAGTAGTATTAATGAAAATCATAGTTATAGTAAAACAGACATCAGGGCCATATCAAATGTCATTTTATACTTGACTAAATATTAAATAATAGAGTATAATAGAAAAGTAGCTCTTACTTTTTCTTTCTAGTATATTTATACTACAGTAACAAATAAAGAACGTAATTCAGAAGAGTCTGAGTTACTAATATATAATCGGGATTAAATAATTACAGCCAAGCTAACAATTTAACACAATCCGTCTTCATCATCCACTTTCTTCTCTTCATATGTAACAGCTTCATATGGCGACTCGTCTTCTTCTTGATAATTCTGTTGAAATACAAAAATATTACTCTAGTATCAAATTCTACTCAATTCGCAATTATAAACATTCGCTTATGCTTGTGTAACATGATATAATAAACTTATATCATGTTACATAAACTTAATTTTTAATTTAGAATATCAAAAGCGAAAGGTCACTCACTAACGCACTCACTCATCACGAAATCTCAGAAACTACAAGTGCTAGGAGTTTCAAAATTTGCATGCGGTTTCTTTTTAGGACGTAGGTGCTCACTAAGACGGGATTTTATGAAATTTAACCCTTAAGGAGTAAATTTGATGATGAAAGTTTGTTGTTTTTAAGTAAGTAAAAGAATAGGTATCTAAAACATAATTTATTCACTAAGTGGGCAGTAGACAAAATAAGTTCGGGAATCCCTGATAGGAGGGATAAAATTAAAAATATGTGAAAAATCTTACCGTTGCATTGGAAGCATTAACAGCATTAGCGCTAACGTAAGATGGTGCGGCGTTCTCACGTACATTAGCTTTGGGTGCAGGCTCGATACTCTCCGGCAGGGGTACAGAGGCAGCAAGCCTTGCATATTCCACATCCATACTGCGTATGAACGGCGAAGCCAGAGCTCGCTTTGCTCCTTCACGGTCTTCCTCATCATAGGCTTGGAGGAGTTGCTCAAGTGTTGACATTTCTGGCGCTTCACAATAGTTACCCCACTCCTAAATAAAAATTTTACGCCACATTATTTAATAATAAGATGAACAATAGGGTACATTTTTATTTTGCCAATATCATGTACGGTGCGGCCGTGTGGCCGCACGTCACGCTACACACCAACACCGACCTATGTTAATACAGAATTTCTATACGAAACTCGGTCGGCACAAAGTCAAGAATGTATAGTGTGACGTGCAGCCGTGGGTACCAGTAAAGGGTCATCAAGAAATCATATCTATGTTGCCTGATGCCTCACCTCAAATGAGGGTACCTCGCGAGTACCTCATGAGGTTCTCACTCATCCTCAATAAAAACATGTGAGTTTCACAACACTACATCTATGGCAAACTTTTAACAATTTACACCTTTAGCCAGGTGTATCTTAACTTAACTAGTGTGTGCATGCTCATTGAATAGATGTGTGCTAACTGTGGACGCTTAGATAAGTTATGTAATTGTTTTTGTTCTTAGCTGTAAGTTTTCTTCAAAATATGTAAATAGATATTTACATAAAATTACCTTGTAAGCTTTTTCAGCAGCCACAGGGTCACCGCGTGCGAGCTGAACTAAAACAATAGCCACTGTTAATCTACCAACGGCACCATTATTGGCAGATTCTTGATGAAATCCAATCTCACGCCGTAGACTGTCCACCGCTTCATCATATCTTTAACAAAAATTTCACAGTGATAGAAAAAGTATTTGCATGATAAAAATCTAATATCTTATCATAATAAATATTTCCTCTGACACAGGTAAAATTGTGATTAATTTCAATATACCTTTGAAGACGTACTAAAATCCGTGATGATTTACTGATGTATTCTGACCCTTGATGTTGACTACTCTCGGTCTGTTGAAATAATATAAAAATATTTTAGCACAAATAAAATAGTCAATAGTAATTGTATTTTACAAAAAACTTACAGAAGACACATCAGCTGCTTGCTGGAATAGCATTACCGCTTTTTCAGGGGCATTTTCTTCCAAAATCTTCGCAGCTTTATCAAGCACAGTTGCTCCAGAATCTCCTGAACCATGTTGCTGATATAGACTTGAAGACTCTACAGCCAAAGAGTATATCTGTTGATAAAGTTTACAATCAAATATAAATAAAAGTAAACTTGAAGAAGTCAATAGTTATTTAAAAGGAAATTAATGGAACTAAAGTTTCTGAAAACTTATATTACTTGAGGGTTACTTTCACAAGGTTAATTATGAACTTATAATTACTTTAGTACCTCAAAATAGTTGATGTTTTTTGTTGTATTGCAATCAGTGTTATGCTATGCAGACATAATATAATATAAATCTGTCCATTAATAAATTGTATTCACATTAAAATTATCAAAATATGACCACTATTTCCTCATAAATTCGAAAGATAAGCAGAAAGCAAATGCTGCTCTTAATTTTTTTTATTGGTATGTGACTATAAAAAATTACGATTCCCAGTTAGATGAAAGTAAAAAATGAACTTTTCTACATTTCCTCAGATCTGAGTGTTACGGTACCTTCTTTCTACAGATTGGCATAGTACAAATGCATTAGCAACTTAATTTGGGTTCTGTATGTGATGTACAATGTTTTTGTCATTCTTATTTATTAACATTATATTGTTAATTGTTATCATTATCTACTTAACTCATCAGGAGTAGCTGTTTCTTTGCTAACAATGATAGCATTCTCAAGGGCTTTGGCTGCATGGAAGAACGAACGATTTTTCTTGTAGTATTCTGATGCTTTTAAGTGGCACTCTTTGGACTTGTTTAGATCCCGAGCTATCCGATAACACTGAGCTATAATAAATAAAACAGTTTTACATATCAATATCAATCTTTTATAATATCAAGTTTTATAAAACATTGACCAAAGCTAATACATTAATAAAAATTAGAGTCAATAAATAGGCTCAAGTACAACTAAGCTGTCCTAATAATTATAAATGTTCACAAATATGAAAGCAAATAAACCAGCAAAATCAATATATACTAACCTGCTTGACTGTACTCATCTGCAGCTGAATCATAATCTGGTTTCCAGCGCAACAATGATGTTTTTAATCTAAAAAAAAAGAGAAGTGAATTTTCAAATTTCCTATTTATAAAATTACATAATCTATGAAGAATCAATGTTTAAATACTTAAATCTCATGGTAATATCAAGTTGGGATGACAATATCTAAGGACTCTTGGAAAAAAGTGTTGCAGTTTTATCTATTCCCAATTTACCCACAAATGGTGTCACACACTCAGATTGGTGTTTTGTTTGAAATGAGACATGAAATTACAAATATTGAAATATTATATTTTTGTTTATTATTGTCATTTAGAATAAATATTCAAATGATAATCTATAAACTTTTGAGTATTGGGTTTAGAGTAATTGTTTGTATTTGAGTTTCTTTATATAACCTTAAATTTTGAAAGACTTAACAAATATGAATGTATGAAGTATCATTACAAACATTACATCATCCCGTGAGCAACACTGGCAACATATGTCTTTGAAAGTATTCAATGTATTGTCAGTCAAAGTAATATAAAAAAATCTTTAATTTTTGCAATATGGCTATCAAATGGTATAGCCATACTTCCATAGCAAAACTGCAACTGACAGGAACCAATATCGTGACCTATGTCATATTGTAGAGGGTAGTAATAATAGTTCTGTATCTCAGATAATTAAGGATCTATTTGAAATAGTTTAGTGGTGATTTTTTCTGAGTAATATATCTCAGTTATTTTTCAAGTTATGAAAATCAATCCAGTATACGATATTATAATAAGTTTTACACTTTATTTTAAAGTAGTTTACTATAAACCATATCACAGTGAAAGAAAAAAAACATTCTGGAAAAATGCAAATAAAAATTTTGACAATAAATTTCTATCAGATAAAAACAAGCTACCACTTTAATATATATAATAGGTTTTTTTCTATCTATATATATGAATTGTCTAATCTTATCTATCAACATGCCAAGTTTCAATAAAATCTTAATGGTGCAACAAAAAATAATGAATTAAGTTAAACCTATGAGTGGTATGTTGACACTTTTCAATTTCGATAGTTTTTGCAGTTGAATCACTACTTTTGAGGTTTGAATGCTAATATGTATAATTAATGATGTTAATTAGCATACTTAAAATTATACTTTTTGATCTACTTTTATAGAAACTAATACTATCAGCAAACAAGGGCGTATACTCTTCCTACAAGTTCTATCACTTCATAGTAATGATGGAATCTCATTATTCTGTTATTAAATTGAGGGGAATTCAAAAATGTCAGAATTTTATAGCTATAGTGGGAAAATGGGTTAGTGATATTCTAATTCTGAGCCCCAGAATTGTTTAAAATATTAGATAGTATGAGTTAATAATCAAAAGTAATTTAATTTTCAACTTATTTTTTTTTATGTTTTACAGCATACTACCTCTCTATCTTCAACTATTTATAAAATACATATAAGCAGCCAATCTGCATAAGTAGCAGTGAAACTGTAAAAAATATTAAAACATAGCATGTTATATAAGCATATGTTTTTCAACATGTTGCATTAGATTTTAATAAAACTTGGCATGTTGTTAGACAAGATATAGAGAATTTATATATTTCTTTTACATAGTAGTAACTTTTTTCTATCTGATGGATATTGATTAACAAAATTTTATTTGCACTTTTCATTCACTACAACATGGTTCCTAGAAAACTACTATAAAATAGAGTGTATAACATCATATACTGGTTCAGTTTTCATATTTTAAAAAGAACTTAGATAAATTACATTGAAAATAGTCACCATGAAGACTTTTAAGTAGCTCCTTAATTAGCTAAAATACAGGGCTAATATCCACATCAATCAACTACTATTACTACCCTCTACAATAGGACATAGGAGACAATATAGGTTATTCTCGGGGTCAGTTTCACTATGACAGTACACCTATACCCTTTGAGATCTTGATAAATACTTTCTAAAGTAATAAAATAGATACTAAATAATTTCAATATTAAAAAACATGACTGACAAAAATAAAGAAAAAAATAAAAAAACAAGTTGAATTGAGGATTGCCTAAACAAAATTCTCATTGCAATTAGAGAGAGTCTTAAATTACAAATGTCCCACAGAATGGTCCCCCAACTACAAAGTGAATTTTGTTTAGCCAATATTTATTATAACTTGTTTCTTTTATTTTTAGTTCGTTTTAGGCTGTAGTCTTTTTAATTTTTAAATTATTATTTAATTAGTACCTAGTATTAGTAGTAATAAAAGAAACAGTACAAACTGTACTCCTATATACAGAAACTAGATATTTTTATGATAGAAATGCATGTTATATAGGTTAAAATATCAAATAATGACAATGAAATTAATGAAAGTAATCAAAGTCCAATAGCTTACGCTTTCTCTGCAGCTCGGCAGTGCTCCTGAGCTTCGCTTATTTTTGATGACATTGTCTTTGAAACCAGATAACTTCTAAATATTTATTCAAATAGAATGTAAGCTGGCAAATGTTAGAACAGAGACCAGAAATAAATCAATAACAGAGACAACTTTTAGTAAATTTCCTTTCAAGGAATTTTCTGTGACAGCAAACGTCACAACACAATATTTTTTAAATAAGTAGTTAAGCAAAAGTTTTCCATCCATAAAGCCACATAATATTTTAGTCAATACCTGTTTTAATGTTTATACTCTTGTTTCACGTCTTTCAGACTCTCACTCTCGCTTCACGACTTGTCTCATCATTTGTACTAGAATTTGAATCAGCTATTATGCACTTATTCACAGAGTCTGTACTATTAGTGCTATTATTATTAAAGCTACTAGAGTGTTAGACCTTCTTCTTCTTCTTTTTTAATTAATGGCTTATTTGCGCATTTCGCACAATTCTGCCAATGTCAAGTGAATAAATAAATTTGTACATGTAAATGAAAATGAAATGAATCGTGTTAGACCTTATTCAACATTTCAATTCCAGGTGTTGGGTGTGAAATTGAATTTTGATAGTTTGGAGTCCCTAATAGGTATATACTTTTACTCTGGCTTGGAGTTTTAAAACCACCAACGTCGCTTTTTGACGCTATGCGAACATGGACTTGGACTAACATGGACTATATAACAGGACAGAGTACTCCAAGTTGAAGAGTGAACCGAACGATATATCAAATACAGAGGCTATTTGTCCCTTTCTAATAAAGCGACAATAACATTTAATTAAGTGAGACTTTTCATCTGATTCAGTTTTTTAAATACTACGGCTATTAAATACATAATAATCTTATTAAACTTTTTATTACAATAAATATATTTTTATTTTTTATTTTAGATACTTAATGCTTTTCATGAAATAGGGATGATGACTAGGTAAAAAACATGCAACTCTATTTAGTCCGTCAGTCAGAAAATAGAAAAATATTAGATACGTATTTTTTGTTACTTCAATTTAACAAGAAATCGTATAGATAACAGGCATTAAAGTTGAGGAGTGGGGGCTCGCTACGTCACAGTTGAGTAGAAAACGTACTCTAACGTGACGTCATGCGAAATTTCAATTCAATGTAACGCCGTAATTTTATGATTACGAAAAAAATACGTGTTTAATATTTTTTAACACTACCTGACGGACAAACAAACAAAAATTAGCCATCATCCCTATTCGATGTCGATGAGCGATATTACACGAAACACGCGCCCTTATAATATGTATGGATATTCGCAAGTGTTTGTTTACTCTCGACTTTCTGTTTAAAATATCGAGGAGTGACATCAGTTGCGCAATTTCACATGCACGGGTATTAATATCAAAATATATAGTTTTGCAAAAAAATACCAATATCCCTCCTATATAAACAAGTGAATAGCTCAATGGTGGTGTGGTTAGCGTGTTTGATCTGAGAATGCAAAGATTACGCGACAATCGCAAAAACCTGTAATTTTTTTTTTGGAACAATATAGGACGTCCACGTTGTCCCAGTACGAATTATGGGTGTAGATTTTGTATAACAAAGAATCTAATAAGGAAACGAGGGAAGGCCTCTCCATGCTAGTCTTGATTTGAAACTAACGGAATCATGAAAAAGCGCTAACAGATCGTTTTTGATACAATACATACTAACAAAGCAAGTTAAATATAAATTTGTAAAAAGCTTCTATTAAAAAGACTTTAGTAAAATATTCTATGAAGAACGACCTGTTGGCGCTTTTGCAGAATTCCGTTACTTTCAAATAGTATGGAAGAGCCTTCCCTAGTATCCTTATTCAGTCCTTTGTTATACAAAATCTACACTCGTAATCTTGAATATTGTATCGTATTTTTAGCAACCAAATTCTAATAAATTGCAATGAAAAATTATATCAACTCTAAGAACTTATAGAATTATCTTCATACTGGTCTCATAAGCAACTAGCGTGTCTGGTTGTAAGATTTCCTCTTTTCATGGTCCAACTCACAGGTCATTCTACCTTCCCATTTTCTCTCAAAACTTTGAAGCATTAATCCACCTTCTTAAGATTAATTTAAGTGAAAATAATGACTTACTGAATTGTCTCGGCTACTTACTGGCTTCGTGTAAATGGTCCATATCCTTAGCAACCAGACGTATGGTATTAGTACCACCCATTATAACTACTGAGATTAGCCGGTACTATAGCTGCTGTTGCTGTTAGCCGCGCAACCTTTCTGCTGTCGAGGCGACTGTTGTGCTGATGAAAAATAAAAGCATTACATTTTTTCTGGATATCCATAAAATATTTGAAGTAACCGGACTTCTTATTTGCCAACCTCAGGACCTATATAAAGTCTTCTGATAAAGCCCAATGTAACTTGAATGGGCTTCCCTCAGTATACCATCTCTCTTTGTTTCATTGATAGGCTATATTTTCTTAATCTATTTTATGATATAAGTATATACCTACACACACAGTTTTATGATCAGACTGCGATCAATTTATTTACATAACTATTGCTACCTACTTACCTAATATTGAGCTGTAAATATGATAAGCACCGCTATCCACATATAACTAGCGATTATTTGCTCGGTGATGTTCCCACGCTTTATGTTGATATCTAATCACCAGATGTACAAAACCGTAAGTGACTTTCTCGGGGGGTTTCGTAAATTTAGTATTTATTATTCACTATATTTGGCGATATAATGATAGTTTACTCTTCTAGTGTTAGATTTTATATTTTTTGACAATTTCCTCATCAGCCTATTAAGTCCTCATGAATAGGCCTGAATAGGCCTGTCCTATGGATGAAATCAAATAGGGAAAACAGAGAGGCTCACAATGCAGGCCCAGTTCTGATTAGTGAGTGTTAACATAGTATGTGTTAATTTTACCGACTGGAGTTGCAGCCTTGATCAATGGCCGGACGGGCATAGCGAGCACGAGATGATATAAAAATTGATCACTAATCCTAAGATCATTCTTTGTGAAAGTTGCTTAACTATCGCATCGCAGTCCTTTAATCGTTGCGCCATGCAAATTCTCGGAAGATTTAACTGACGAAAAAACAAATGAGGTTTTAGAGTCAATGCGTAATTTTTCCCTTTAACCATCTTAGAGATGGCCCCATAACAACTATCCTATTTTTTTTAAATATAAAAATTACTGGAAGTATTGTGCATACTATGGCATAATTGATGCAGTTAAAATCACGTATCTAAACATAACGAATGACCGGAGTTTTTGGATTGTATTGCGTGAGCTTGAAGAGGTTATCGTTGACACGGGCCGGTGTCGATTTTTAACAAAAAGAGCTTACGGTAATATTTGGACACATTTAGATTATTGTAATATCATTATACTGAGATTAGATATAAGATTGCGTGTTAGTGCAATAACTGACACAACAGCAACGTTGACTGACGTCTACGTTGTTTATCTGAAAAATAATCAGCACTAGCTGAATTAAGCTTAGCGCCCTAGGCAAAACACTAGAGCGACGCCTATAAAAATATCTTAACAAAATAAAAGACTAATGTACACCGATTAGTGTAATTTTGCCAATGACAAAAAATACTCATTAGGTAGCGTTGGTCTGAAAACTCTTGAATACGAACTCGAACATGGATTCATGTTCAAAAAACCAAAGTAATTTTTAAGATAGTGATTTTTTACTTGTTATTTGTTACCTTTTACTACAGGTAAGCGTTTTTCCATCAGTATTAAATTGTTTTCCAGTAATCTTCAAAATAAATATCAAGAGAGCTTATTCTAAACCCTTTCATAATTTTGGATAACTTTATATGCTGTTGCTTGTACATACACGTGACAATATTGACAAGCGTTGTGATAGTTATTACGATTACCCACTGCTTGCAAATATGCCATTTATTATTTATCAGAATAACGATTCGTCAGACTACTGAATTATAACTTTTTCAAGATAATTTAAGCTTTAAGTTATGGGGTTAATAGTGCTTTAAACCTAAAAACTGGCTGGTGGGTAGCGCTTGACACCTTGAGTAGGCATAATAATTCCTGAACAGGCACAATACGTACATTTACGATTTTGTCTAATGACAATTTGTTGATTTTTAACGAAATTAAAAATCAAAGAGGAGAATGTGATATGATGATTTGTAGTTTATTCTAAACCAGTTCTAATTATAACAAAATAGATGAAAGAAAATATACTCCTAAATAACAAATTACTTAATTCCATAATTCTCCACTCTAATGTTATTGTTTAATTCATATGTACGATCTGTTTTGGAGTACGCATCGACGGTATGGAATCCACAGTATAAAGTGTATATTGACGCAATTGAAAAAATCAACAAAAAATTTGAAAAGCACCTCAAATTTAGATCTGCTTGCGATAACCACTAACCTATTCGTATTCTTTCTTTACTCGATCGTCGTTTAGAGAGGGATCAAATGTTTTTGTATAAGATTTTAAAAGCTCACGTTGACTCGAAATTTTTATTACAGAATATTAATATAAGATGCTCTCGAATGGGTTCACGGTCTAAATAGCTTTTTTCTGTCCCATTAACTAAAACTAATTATGCAGGAAATATTTTTGTTTATAGATCTTGTAAAGAATATGACATGAAATTTATCTCCATTGACATTTTTAATTGCTCAATTCCTTCTCTAAAAAAACTTGTAAAAAATATAAAGGATAATCCTGACGAACATTAAATGATATTGTTATTATTTTTATTTATAGTCCTAATTTAATTTGATAATTAATGTGCGAGTAATTAGAATATTGACCATTGTGTAACTTTGACATGATTGTTGACATTATAGACTCTTTTTGTTAGTGATTAATGAAAATTAAACCAATCGATAATTTAGTTATTTTTTAATGTGAAAAGTTACATGTATATTGTATAAACTATTAGTGGAAACTTTACTGATTAATGTGCTATTTTAAAATGTTTCAATTGTATTTATTATAAATATTGTTTGTTTCCCAAATATAATAAAAATA